AAAAAAAAAAAAAAAAAAAAAAAATATATATATATATATATATAGAGAGAGAGAGAGAGAGAGAGAGAGAGAGAGAGAGAGATGTGAAAGTACCCTCTTTACCCTGCTTCTCCCTTTACCCTCCCTGCCCCAGAGGTAATCACTGCTAACAGGTTAGAGTATAAATTTGTGGTCTGTTTTTCATACAGATATATGTATATAAATATATGTACATATTTATATTTTAAAAACAGGATTATGCTGTGTATGTGTTGTTCTGTGACTTGCTTTTGTTCACTTGAAGTCTTTAAGATCTTTCCAGGTCAGTTCACAAAGATTGGTTTTTAACAGCTGCATAGTATTCCAGTGTATGGGTTATGATACTTTTCACAAAAACTCCCTTATTGACATTTATTCATTTTTTCACTATTGCAAGCAATGCTGCAGTGAACATCTTTGTACACGTATTTTGAGTACATGTGCTAGTATTTCATTAGGATGGATATTTCAAATTGGAATTGGTACGTCACGAGATAATGGGTTTTACATTTTTATATATATTGTCACATTGTTCTTCAAAAAGGCTTTACTAATTTACTTTCCTTCTGACAGCATATGCAGAACACCTATTTCTTTGCAACCGCAGCAAAAATGGATATTGTCAGTCTTTTACGTTTTAGGCAAATCGTGATAGGTGTTTTAGTTTTCATTTTACTAATTACTAGTGAGGTCAAATGTCTTTCCATATTTACTATCTGTGTATCTGATTACTATAGTGCGATATACAGAAAATACATGAAACATCTATGTGTATATGTATACACAGACACACACATAGATATTTTTTAAACAGACAGTCATAAAGTGAACACCCATGTAACTACCCAGGTCAAGAAAGAACATTTCTAATACTTTAGAAGTTCCCCCGCAGGATCCTCCCATCATAACCCCTGCTGTCGTCTTTAACACCATCCCTGCTCTTCATTTCTTTGCTTTCCTTTATAGTTTTACCACCCACGTACACATTCCTAAACACACTATTTAGTTCCTGTTTTTGAAATTTATGTGAATCAAATTATACTGTATACTTTTGCTTCCTTTTCTAAACATTATAAGATTCATCCCTATAAATTGCTATATAAGCTATGATTTGCTTATTCCATTGTATGAATATATTACAACTTATTTTGCCATTTTACTCTGGACATCTGGGTGGTTTCCAGTTTGGGTATATTACAGGCTCTGGATGTTTTGTATGTGTGTTTTGGAGTATGCATTTTTAAAAGGATATATACCTAAGAGCAGAACCACAGAGGCACAAGGTTTATAAGATTCAACTTAGCTAGATCATGCCAAACTCTTTCCCAGAGATGCCCGTACTGATTTACATTCCTTCAAGAGTGTATTGGCTCTTTAAGTTTTACCAATCTGTCGAGTGTATAATGTTATCTTGTGATTTTAATTAGCATTTTCCTTATATCAGATGAGGCTGACGCCTTTTATATGTTCATATATATTGCCACATTGTTCTTCAAAAAGACTTTACTAATTTACTTTCCACCTCATAGCATGTGAGAATGCCTATAAGTTTATTGGCTATTTGGATTTCACCTTTGGTGAGTGAAATGTGTGTTCAGGTTTTGTCCATTTTTCTTAATAATTGGCAGGGGGTTCTTTATATGTTTGGGATACTATTCCTTTATGAGTGGTGTTACAAAATCTTTTCCCAGTTTGTGGCTTGTCTTTTCACAATGTTTTGATTAACATTTTAATTTTAGTATGTTCAAATACATCAGTTTTCCCTTATGGGTAGCATGGTTTATATTTCACTTAAATTTTTTTTCTCTCTCCAGGTTATGAATATGGCTGATATTTTCTTCTTAAATGCTTTATTAGTTTTGCCTCTCTCACAGAAGTTTCATCCTACTTGGAACTGTCTTTGGCATGTGGTATGAGGTAATTTATTATTATTATTTTTTGCTTCTTATATGGTTAGTCTGTTGTCCCAGCACCATTGGTTGAAAAAAACCTTCCTTTTCCTACTGCTTTGAAGTGCTTTCTCTGTTACATATTAAGCATTGATATATGCAAAGATTTATTTCTGGACTTTTAATTTTGTTTTATTGGTCTTCTGTGCTGTATACACTCTCTTCATTACTATATCTTTTAAAAAAGTTTTGATATATAGTATAGCAAGTCCTTTCACCTTGTTCTTCAAGAGCTCGTGGCTCTTCTTGGTTCTTTGTTCTTCCATATCCATTTTAAAAACAGCTTGTCAGTTTCCTCCCCAAAACTAAAAAAACAAACACATTGAGATTTTGATTGGAGTTGCCATGATTCTGCAGGGCATTTGGAGAGAATTAATGTTATTATATTGGACCTTCTAATCCATGAACATGTTGTATCACTTATTTAAGTCTTTTTAATGTCTTTTTTTTTTTTTTTTTTTGAGGTACGTGGGCCTCTCACTGTTGTGGCCTCTTCCCGTTGCAGAGCACAGGCTCCAGACGCGCAGGCTCAGTGGCCATGGCTCACAGGCCCAGCCACTACGTGGCATGTGGGATCTTCCCAAACCGGGGCACGAACCCGTGTCCCCTGCATCGGCAGGTGGACTCTCAACCACTGCGCCACCAGGGAAAACCTATTTAAGTCTTATTAATGTTTTTTTTTTAAACATCTTTATTGGAGTGTAATTGCTTTACAATGGTGTGTTAGTTTCTGCTGTATAAGAAAGTGAATCAGCTACGCGTATATATATATATCCCCATATCCCCTCCCTCTTGCACCTCCCTCCCACCCTCTCTATCCCACCCCTCTAGGTGGTCACAAAACACTGAGCTGATCTCCCTGTGCTATGCAGCTGCTTTCCCCTAGCTTTCTCTTTTACATTTGGTAGTGTATATATGTCAATGCTACTCTCTCACTTTGTCCCAGCTTACCCTTCCCCTCTCCCCATGTCCTCAAGTCCATTCTCTACATCTGCATCTTTATTCCTGTCCTGCCCCTAGGTTCATTAGAACCTTTCTGGTTTTTTAGATTCCATATATATGTGTTAGCATGTTTTTCTCTTTCTCACTTCACTCTGTATGACAGACTCTAGGTCCATCCACCTCATTAAAAATAACTCAATTTCTTTTTATGGCCGAGTAATATTCCATTGTATACATGTGCCACATCTTCTTTATCCATTCATCTGTCAGTGGACACTTAGGATGCTTCCATGTCCTGGCTATTGTAAATAGTGCTGCCATGAACATTGTGGTACATATCTCCTTTTGAATTGTGGTTTTTTTCAGGGTATATGCCCAGTAGTGGGATTGCTGGGTCACATGGTAGTTCTGTTTTTAGTTTTTAAAAACTACTTCATACTGTCCTCCTTAGTGGCTGTATCAATTTACATTCCCACCAACAGTGCAAGAGGGTTTCCTTTTCTCCACACCCTCTCCAGCATTTATTCTTTGTAGGTTTTTTGATGATGGCCATTCTGACTGGTGTGAGGTGATACCTCATTGTGGTTTTGATTTGCATTTCTCTAATGATTAGTGATGTTGAGCAACCTTTCACGTGTTTCTTGGCAATCTGTATGTCTTCTTTGGAGGAATGTCTATTTAGGTCTTCTGCCCATTTTTGGATTGGGTTGTTTGTTTTTTTGATATTGAGCTGCATGAGCTGCTTGTATATTTTGGAGATTAATCCTCTGTCAGTTGCTTGGTTTCCAAATATTTTCTCATATTCTGAGGGTTGTCTTTTCTTG